TTGAGCATCAATTAAAAGAAGGAGGTGTTCTTCACAACACTTTACCTTTAAAAACAAGAGAGAAAGGGCTTATGGGTCACCTTAAACCTTCCAAATAACTTCAACAACAATCACCACCACTACTTGAAGGTGTTTTATGGAGAAAATCATAGGTTGGATGTTGGTTTTGATGATTGCAAGCACCAGATTGAAGCCAAAACTGAAGAGTTTTCTTTCTTCACTTTGAGGAGAGAGAGGGCCGGCATTGAGCAGGGAGAAAAATGGTGCAATTTTTGCGTTAATCTTGTGATTTAAATTGCGTCAATGGTAAGACATGGAATAGTAGTCTTAAAGGTAACCCAATCAAATGGTGACACTTGTCACCCAATTTAATGCAAGTCTATCACTTTGTTCCCTCTCACATCAATCCAAATAGCTTCCTCTAATTATCTCTTAACACCCGATAAAATAATTCCAGTATCCAAAACTTAATCTAGTTGGCCGAATTTTTCCGGACTTTTCGCACTAGTGGGTCCCACGTCCGGTATCTGTTCTTAATTTCTCAAAATCTATTCGATACTAGAAAAATCATCTAAAAATTATATCTGCTCCTTAAATTTATCTAGAAAAATTTTCGAATCACGAAAATGCAGAAAACAAGTCATGAAAAATAATAAACTTAGAAAATGAAAATTACGGGTTCTCACAAGATAAACGAACATATGCTTTCTTTGTTCCAACAGACCTGATCAAAGTGTTCACTTTCTTGGTCTGTATAAACAAACTTTTGTGATCATCAAAACCAAGAATAACAGTGGCTGATCGTGTCATGGCAGAGGATATGTTGGTGCCTCTGAAGGACGCGGAGCTCCTTCCTCCAGCCCACCGGTTGGAGCGCTAGGCTCCTTTGCTAGACAAGGGCAGCCAGGCTTCCTCCGTGTTAGTGCCATTGGGCTCATGTGTTGCGATGCATGCTGACCCCATAGGCGTGTCGCTTGAGCTTCCTGCTGCCCATGACCTAACACCGCACCAGGCTCCTGTCTAGGAAATGAAGGAGGGGTGTCGGGCATTGGACAACCAGGTAAGTCATCAACGTTCAGGCTCTGCTCCGTCTACAGTGTCTCACCAGGTTTTGGTAGTAGAATTGGAGGGAGAGGGTGGTGGCTTGGAGAATCACTTTGAAGTCCCCGATACGTTGGGTGAGGGTGTTGGGGTCGAGTTGTCAAATGAACATGCAATAGCCTCCTGACTTCAAGTTTTTCCACGTCGACGACAGAGGAAACATAGGGGCGTAGGGTGTCGGCCAGGAGCCTAAGGGAATCACATGTGACCATAGAAGAGCTAATGCAATTTCGCCAGGAGTTGGCTCACGGGAGCCAGGAAGGACGTTCGGTTGTCATTGGAGAGGAGCCCATCCAAGAAAGGAGGGGGCAAGCGAAGTGAGGACATCAAGAGGAAAGGGGGCAAACCCTGGGGCAAACGCACTCAAGTGGCTTCCTCTTCATCTCAAGCTAAGTATCTTCTACGCTCCCATGCTAAATCCAATTAATTTTGTTGTATGGAATTTAAGGGGCGCCTCTCGCCCTGACTCTATTAAGTATCTACATAAAATCTGCCTGGATAATAAGATTTCACTAGTTTTTCTTCTGGAGCCCATGTTTGAGGTTAAACAATTAGACGTGGTCTGGAACCGGCTCAAGCTAGACCATGGGGCCTCTTTCTTAAATGGCAAGGTGTGGTGTCTTTGGAATAGGGTCTTCAAACTCTCTTTTGTGGAGGGAGAGGAACAGGTAGTGCATGCTAGACTTACTTTTCCGTCAGGTGAGGTTGTTAATATATCGACGGTCTATGATAAGTGCACTAGAGTAGGTAGACGCCCTCTGTGGAGTTGCTTGGAGTGTTTTAATATGGGGAGAAGTGAATCGTGCATTGTAGCTGGCGACTTTAATGTGATCGCATCCACGGAAAAGTGCAGAGAGAGGCAGCCAGCTAATGTTGCTAACATGGAGGAGTTCAACACATCGATGTTTGTGTGTGGACTTTCTCCAGTGGATTTCGATGGGTGTCTATTTACATGGACGAATGGCACGGTTTGGCAACGGTTGGATAGGGCTCTCATCAACTCCCAGTGGACGGGCATACTCGGTCACCAGGGTCTCTCACCTTCCTCGTGGACAGTCAGATCATGCGTCTCTGTTGATCAGGGCGGGGTCGGGATCTTCAGCTCTCTCTTCATTCAGGTTTCTTAACATGTGGCATCGTCTCACCCCACTTTCTTGGAGACTGTTTCCATGGCCTGGCATCAGTCAGGCTCAAGAGTAGGGATGAGTTTATTCTTTACTAAGTTGTCATCTCTTCATAATCGACTACGAAAGTGGAGCAAGGAGGAGTTTGGGAATATATTCGCTCAGGTAAAATCAGTAGCGGAGTCATACAAGCAGCGGGAGGTGGAGTTCAATTCAAGTGGTGAGGAGTCTTCAAAAATTCAGCTACATGAGGCCAAGGCCATGTATCTACGAGAGTTATCAGTGGAATGCAAATTCTGGCGACAAAAGGCGACACTTCGGTGGATTAAGGAGGGCGATGCGAACACCTCCTATTTCTATTATGTGGTTAAACAGAGAAGGATCTCCAACTATATTTCTCGGGTAAAAAATGAAGGTTTGGGTTGGCTACAGGACACGGTCGACATACAGGCCTCGGCGGTGCGATTTTATTCGTCATTGTTTCAGTCCGGTGGGTATGTCTCTCTACCCGAACTGCCCTTCGAGTTGCCTAGAGTAAGCGTGGAGGAGGATAAAATGCTGTGGCACTTACCGGATTTGGATGAGATTCGAGCAGTGGTGTTCGCTATGGATGCAAATAGCGCTCTGGGGCCAGATGGGTTTGGGGCGGGTTTCTATCAGTAGTGTTGGGAGATCATCAAATGGGACTTATTAGTGGCCGTTCAGGATTTCTTCAAGGGAATCGAGCAGCCCAAAGGCTTCTCAAGTGCGTTACTAGTGCTGATCCCAAAAGTGGAGGGGGCTTTCCAATGGAAGGACTTCAGGCCAATTAGCCTTTGTAATACAAGCTCAAAGATTATTTCGAAGATTCTAGCCAACCGATTGGGGGGTCTGCTGCCCAAACTCATTTCACCATGGCAGACAGGATCTGTCTCTGGGAGGAGCATTATGGATAATATTTTGGTTGCCCAAGAATTGATGTTAGATCTAGATAGGAAACTCGCTTACCCAAATTTGGTTATCAAGCTCGATATGGAGAAAGCGTATGATAGAGTGGAATGGCCTTTTCCTCCTTTTCATGCTTAGGAGTTTTGGATTCTCGGAGGTCTCAGTAGATCTCCTCTTCAGGACCTTCTCCAACTCGTGGTTCTCGGTTTTGATCAACGGCCAACCCACAGGTTTTTTTAAGTCTAGTAGGGGTGTGCGTCAGGGGGACCCGTTGTCACCTGCGCTTTTTTTTGTTTGTGGCTGAGTTCCTGGAAGAGGGTCTCCATTAGCTTGGGCTCAACCATAGGGACCAAGGCTACGTGTCTGTCGGCGGCATCGTACCCTATTTGGCATTTGCTGATGATACGATCATCTTCACTCGATGCTCAAAACCTTGCCTGACGGCCCTCCGTGATTTTCTCCTTCTGTATCAAGAGCATTCCAGACAAAAGGTCAATGCAGAGAAGAGTGCTCTTCTCACGCCCTCTCGTATATCTAAAGATCAGATCAGGTTAGTGGGGACGATACTGGGTTTCCACAGGCAATCTCTTCCAGTGAAATATCTAGGGGTTCCCCTCGTCCGTGGAAGGATGGGTGCGGCAATTTTCGACCCCCTCCCAGAGAAGTTGTGGGCACGCCTCTTCCATTAGAGCTCTAAGCTACTGAGCATGGGGGTAAGATTATCCTCATCCGACATGTGCTTGGCTCGATTTCTCTTTTCGTGTTGCAAGCTGTTTGCCCTCCCAAATCCGTTATAGCTGCCCTAGGCAGGATCTGTAACTCTTTCCTATGGGATTTAAGTGTTGAGTCAAAGAGGTTACACTGGGCGGCGTGGGAGAAGCTTTGCTTTCCGGTTCAAGAGGGGGTCTGGGGTTTCGCTCCATTGATGACTCAGCGAAGGCTTTCGCCTACAAGTCGTAGTGGCGGTTATGGAAGAAGGACTCGATTTGGGCAGACTATATTCACAATAAGTACATTAAGCACTCACACCCATCGATCGCTACTATGGATCACCCTCCGGCGTCATGGTGACGGCTACTGGCAGTCCGAGATTTTGCAGAGTCACGGATACGGTGGTGTGTGGGGAAGGGACTAGTTGATTTTTGGCATGACATCTGGTGTGGAGACCTACCGTTGACACATGTGGTGGATGTGCCCAACCCCCCTCATTCTCTGGTGGCGGAGTTCTATACGTCTCAAGGCTGGAATGTTCCACGGCTTAGGGAGTGGGTTTCCGAGCTCATGGTACAGCAGATCACTAGCATTCACTTCACCCCTGACCAGGATGATGCCATGGTTTGGGCACCTTCCACCACCGGGGACTTCTCTGTAGCCTCCGCGTAGGAGGAGATTCGCCAAAGGCGTAATGCATCTCTGATTGATCGCTTTGTGTGGGGTTCGATTGTGCCCCTACGAGTTTTCTTTTTTGCATGACGTCTGCTATGCCGCTGCCTCCCCCTAGACAGTGTGTTGCAGAGTAAGGGGGTAACAATGTGCTCCAGATGTAGTTGTTGTCAGCAGGCCCAGGAATCAGTCAATCATCTGTTCCTACACAGCGCTGTGGCTAGAGGGGTGTGGGAACACTTTTTCAAAGTGTTCGGTCTTCTCCCATTTAATGCGTTTGGTGTTGCCGCTATGTTGTCCTACTAGTTTTCCTCTCACTCCAAAGTTTTAGAAACACATGTGCGGGTTCTTGTCCCTTTGTTGGTTCTTTGGTTCATTTGGAAGAGCAGAAACTTTGCAAGATTCGAAGCAAGTTCGATCACTCAGGCTCAAGTGATTTTCCAGATCCTGGAATTTCTGTGCCAGATGGGTAAGGCTCGTGCATTCTCCAAGACCTCCTTTGCACGCGATCGGGACTGTCCATGGGCACATTTGGGCGGCCTTAACAGGCGGGTTAAGGATGTTGCATTGGTTTCTTGGGAAAAGCCTCCACCGGGGTGGTTCAAGCTTAACACTGATGCCAGTGTCCTCCACGGTAGGGCATTCGGGGATGGGGACGTACGAGATCATTGTGGGAGGGTGATCTTCGCCAATTACAAGGAGTTTGGAGAGTTGGATGTGTTGGAAGTTGAGGCGCAGTCTCTTCGGGAAGGCCTAGCAATGTGTGCAGCTCGGATAGTGTGCACATTGATTGTTGAATCAGACTCAAATGTCCTTGTCCAGCTAGTGAATTCGGAGGTTGTGTCGAAGTGGACAGTGTGCAATGTTCTACGGGAGATTAGACACCTCCGTCGGATGAATGCACCCCTTCACCACGTGTTTCACGAGGCCAACTCGGTGGTAGGTGCATTAGCCTCATTGCGATTGGGTGGGCAGCGGTGCTACGCCTCATTCGCGGCCCTGCCTCTCAGAGCTAGAAGGGAGGCTCGTCTTGACTGTTGCGAAGTTCCACGTCTACGTGAGGTGCCGATTAGGGCTTGAGTCTCTGCTTTCTTGTTTTTTTCCCCTTTTTCCCTGGTTTTTTACTCTTGTAACTATTTCCTTTTCTAATAGAATTTAGGGCGGGCTGCCTTTTTTTTAAAAAAAAAAAAGTGCTTAGCCTAGGTTCAAATTAGATATTTATGATTTTGATGCTTTTTCTTACAAAGAATATATACCGTATGACACATGCTATGCTAGCCATGAATTATTGTGATTTTGCCATGAAGATAAGGTTGAAACTTTGAGGTTAGAAGAAAGGAATTTAAGGACAAGTTGCTGGAAATTATTGTTTGAGTTGGAATTTTGGGATAGTTTTGACATATTATGCTCAAGGTACTTGTCGCGCCCCACTTTTTGAATGTGAAAAAATAAATGGTTTGAGAAAGATGTTTTTGATTGAATTTTGATTGAAAAAGATTTGGGTCTAATATGGGACTTGAAAAAGCGACGATTCGACCCAAAAAAATAGTTTTTAAAAGGGTTTTGAATGAGAAATTGGAGTCGCCACTTGGTAATGATTAAGGTGTACCAAGTCACCTAAAAATAAATCTTTAAAGACAAAATAGTAAAACCCTTTTAAAAATGACTCCTAGTCCACGTAAGCCAAAGAAAAAGGTTCGGGGGTCACGTTTGACAAAGGGGAAGGCAAGGATAGAATCCAAGGCACCCCTTTGACCTAGCCAAGGCTAGTTGCGCGACTTAACCTTACCTTTCCTAATTTTCTACCCAATATATGTTCGCACGTTGGACATGACTATATGAATGCAAAAACCTAGACCTAGGGGGATCGGGGGAAATTTCTCTTCAAAGGTTGAGTGGTGCCAATCACATTAATTGTGAAGCCCAATAATGATCCTTTTGGAGAGGTCACACCTAAACCTAAATGACGTGAAAAATGAGTGGAATGCATGCCATGTGAAAGTGTGAGTTTGTGTGAAGTGAGAAAAATGATAAAAGTAATAAGATAAGAGTGAAGGTGTGCAAATGTAGATGAAAGTACTCGTGTGCGAGTAAAGATAAAATGTTCGTGTGCAAGTGAAGATAAAAGGGTTCGTGTGCAAGTGGAGATAAAAAAGTGTTCGTGTGCAAGTGAAAGTGATAAAAAGGTGCATGTGTGCAAATGAGACAAAAGTGAAAGTGTAATGATAGAGTGGATTGAGAATGCATGAGCCTAGGGAATTCATGCATATTGGGTACGGGGAGACCTAAATCGTGACTTGATTTTCCCTTTGATTAGAAGGCGAAACTAGCGTGCTAAGGCTATCGAGTAGCCACACTCGCTCGTTTCCCTTATCGGAAGGGGACACTCAAGCAAAATGAACCCTATAACTATCATGATATGCAAAAATCCTAAAATGAAGGGAAAGGGGGTTCGAGGAGCATGCCAAGTGATAAAACTAAGAAAAATGCATGATATGTGGTGAACAAGCAAATGATATGCTAATGAGGGGAACAAAGGAAAAATCCTATTGGGTCTAGCGTTGGACTAGCCCTTTCTATGAATTCCTAATGAAATAATGAGCCACAACTAGCGTTGGACTAGTGTGGTGGCGTACATTCATCCATTCCATTCATTCATGGTTATGAAAGCAAGTAGACATGCCAAAACGCTCGTAAACACGTAACACGTAGCACTTAGCATGCTCGACTAGATGCAAGAGCCTACTAAAGCAATTAAACATGTAGCAACAAAAACAAGCAACCAAGGGGAAGGGGAAATGGACCAGATGCTCTCCGAGCCCTATCTATTACAAGCCATGAGGTGTACACATACCCCATAAAAACATAAAGGGGAAGGGGAAATGGACCAGATGCTCTCCGAGCCCTATCTATTACAAGCCAAGAGGTGTACACATACCCCATAAAACTTAAATAAAAGTAAAAGCAAGTAAATGCATGCAAGGAGGTAAGGAAAGCGGAGTAGGCATGCATATTCACATAACACGTAGGATCACATAGGAGAAATGAAAAATTAAAGAGATAGAGGTTACCTCCCTTGCAATTGGGTCCCAATGAAGTGAATTTAATCAATTACCCTCCAAAATAATAAAAAGGTCAATGCACCACTTTATTTAAGAAAAAATAAAAGAAGTGTGCAAAACAAAGCTCACTTAGTCATAAAGTCCCTAAAGTCACAACTTAAGCACAATTTAAATAAAGCATGGTAGTTAATTGAAGCAAACAAGCAATGAAGTTGCACAAATTAAAGTTAACAAGGACCAAATTGATGAAATTCTCTAATTGATTGGGTCATAGTGAAATAAAGGGGAACTTGGGGGGTCAAAGTGCAATTTTCAGCAATTATTTCATGCAAAACTCATGCAAGCTACGTGAGAAACATTCTGCACAACAAAACTTCACAAACTAACAAAGCTCTCGGCAAAGTTCTGCTACACAATCTTTAGGCTCAAAGTTCAACAATTTCAGCAAAGCAGATTCATACCACAACTTTGCAATTCCTCCAATTAAACATGGCTGAATATCCTTTAACAATGCAAATAGCTGTAAGAATTTCATGCAAGGCTTTCATGCAAATACAAAGGGAACAAACTTCTGCTATGACATAAAATTCTCGGCAGTTAATGAGATTTTCGCAAGTTCCATACCTCAGCTCAAGCAACCAAAAGAAACAGTCAAAATCAACCCTCAGCACCCCTTAGCAACTAGACATTTTGATTACCCCAAGCCCAATAAAAGCAACGAAACATTACAGATCAAATGACTGACTAAGAGGGAAGCATATGCTGCGGCAGCCAACATAACCCACAGGCATAAAAAAAAAAAAACAGCAAGCGACATGAGGACTTGATGCAACTTCATTCGACCAGAATTTCCTAACTGTGATGCGCCAAACTTACAGGACAATGTCACGCAAGGCAAGAGAAAAGAAAGAAATGAAACTTAAAATCTGCTGCAACTTCGCCATATTTCTGCAATCTAGAGTGGAACTTGCTGCAATTCTTCCTACGCTTTTGAAACTTTCCTGGTTTGCTAAAACATTTCATTAACCCGCCTATCATTTGCAAGCTTATCACCGTGAAAAGGACAAAGCAAACGAGTCGAGATTCATTCAAAACTCATAGCAAAATCATCTAACATGTCAGCAACGATCCATGACCTCAACTTGAAGATAACAGACTCTTATATAAACCAGTGAGCATGAAGAGAGGAAATGAAAGCAACAAAAGTGACCAACAAGCGTAACTAGAGGGACCTGAATCTAATGACTTCACATCTGGGCTTCCCCTTTGCAACAAAACGCAGATTGAACTTAGCAAGCCATGACTATAAACGCTTAACAACAGGAAAATACAGCAAGGGCAAAGCGTTGCTTTTTATTACTGGTTTCTGCAACTTTTGTTGCTATGGCTTTCATGTCAGACGCAGGTGACAAAGTCCAAGTAAAACATCAAGCTTTCAGACCAGAACAGGAAGATTATAGAGCCCCAGGCATCAAGATTCAATCTTGGTACATTTAATGTCAAATTTGTGCCATAAAAACTGAACTATCATCACACACGGTGAGCAGGAAATGTGCAGCAAAAATGAAAGAATAACGCAGGCTAGACTTGGCCAAGATTTAAACTTGAATGGCAAGAGTAAAGTGAAACTTCATCACCTTAAATGCTCTAGGAAGTTGAGATGACGAAGCTGAATCCGCGGGCTTGAGAAACGCTGCACTTCCTTGCTGATTCTCAAAGAATAGCACCAAGTCCGCTTCTTCGCGGCTTTTCCCCAAACTTTTCCTCCAACCGAAGCTCTGTCGGGCTCTCTATCTCTCACGTTCTTTCTCCTCAGCCCTCCTCTCCTGTTTTTCTTTGCTCCTCCTCAGACCCGTCAACCCCACCTTTCTCTCGGCTTTTCTCTCCGTGGGTTTTCCTTTTTGCCGCCGCCCCCTCTTCGTTCCCCCAAGAAACTCTCTCGGCTCTCTCTAATAATTTTTAGCCATTCACTCCTTCCAGCCTTGCCATCACCCCTCAGCCTCCCTCTCTGTCTTTTCCCTTCTAGCTTTCTCTCTCTGTTTTTTCCAGTTTGCTAGCTCTCCCCCACGATGAAGTTCCCTCTCTTTCTCTCGCTGTTTTTTTTTTGTTCTATCCCCCTTCACTCCCCTCAGAATCCTCCTCTTGCGGCTGCTGCTCTTATTTTTATTTATATGGGAGCCCCAACCCTAAAACAATCTCCCCATATTTGCAGCCAAAGGGGCTGCCCAGCCCTTTGTTTGCAAGCTGCGGCAATACGCAGCTTGCATGCCGCGTTTCACTTTTTTTTTTTTTTTTAAACTTAATAACTTAATAAATACAGAAATGATAAAATATAAATAATAATAATAATAACAAATTGCCAAAAACCAGGTAATAATAATAATAATAATAATGAAAATAATTTAAAAACTAAACAACTAAAAACAACAAAAATGGCCATTTTTCCATCTTTTTGTTCCATTTTTCATTTTTCATATTTTTCATTTTTTCCTTCAAGAAAGCATTGAATTTAAATTACAAACGACTAAATCATATTTTTTGAATGCTTTTCTTTTTTTCTTTTTTTTCTTTTTCAACAAATTCTATGATAAAACTTAAAAATAAAAATAAAACTGGAAACTAAAAACTAAAAATGAACACGACAAATAAAAAAACTAAAAATGAAATTACACCAAAAATTTGGTGTCTACAGTTTGCCCCTCTTTGTCCGAGTTTTGAAAAAACTTGAGACAAAGAAGTAGACACCAAATACTTACCTGTGTTATTGGGCTGCAAAATGATTCCAATGAACAAGAATTCTAAAAAAATGGGACTGACCCGAACATGAATGTAAAAAAATGGGATAGACCCGAACAGAAATTTAAATTTGGGATAGACCCACGGGATAGACCCGGACAGAAATGTAAAATTGGGATAGACCCACGGGATAGACCCGGACTGGAATGTAAATTTGGGATAGACCCACGGGATAGACCCGGACAGAAATTTAAAATTGGGATAGACCCACGGGATAGACCC